CTACCTACATACCTACATACCTACATACCTACATACCTACATACGTACATACGTACATACATACATACATACATACACACATACACACATACACACATACACACATACATGCATGCATACATACATCGATACCAATATACACACATGCATACATACATACATACATACATACATACATACTTACATACATACATACATACATACATACATACATACATGAGGACATATGTGTGTGTATATTATATATATATATATACATACGCATACATACATACATACATACATACATACATACATACATACATACATACATACATACATATAGTTACATATGTACATAGCTTGCACACCCGTATACCTCCAACATACATGCATGCATGCATACATACCTACATACCTACATACCTACATACATACCTACATACATACACACATACATACATTCATACAGTCAGGATGGGTTTCGGGGGCACGCTTTACGATGTAGTGCGTCGGGCACATTTGGCAAAGTTCGAGCTGTGATCACGGGACAGCTGTTCAATTGAGGGCGTGTTTCAGCCTCAATTGTCAGCCTAGCTTGGCTGCGCAAAGGACGAAGGACTGCGACGATAGTGCTGAAAGATGCTATCGCCGCGTTGTATGTGTGTCGATACTCTTTATTTACCATGCTTATGTCATGGTGCACGACAGTTCGCAGTTGTAATTGTGCGACTGAACATACAAAGGCTGACTCCGATCCTTATGTTATGGAGGCGCTGGGAGGATGAATTGCCAAGGTCAGCGCAGGCCTCGAGCGGAGGATGCTGAGTCTCGACCAGCCCGGTTTCCCAAGATGCCGATGGTCTGTGTGGATGGGTTTGTAGTCCTCAGGGGTTTCAGGGGTGCTTGAAGTCTCCGAGTCTGCAGATTTTTTTTGCTGGCCTAATCATGCCCACGGACTTGGGTGTTAGGGATCTCAGCTGTTCGGTTTGGAGCTTTGGGTGCGGCTTTAGGATGTACGCAGGTTTAGTGCTTGAAAGTATTCGGTTAAAATGTTGCCAAGTCTGGCATGACGGCTTGGCCCATCACTAAGTAAGGGCGTTTGGCATTGGATTTCTGTTGAGGTGGCCGACGGCCTGTTAGTAAACCTTGAGTCCTGAGCCCACAACTTAAAATTCCAGAGATCGCATTTTATGTGAGTTAGAGCACGGCGACTCGAAGGGTTAGGTGCGAAGTTACTATTTCGGCGCCATGCAAAGGAGGAGAGTTGGTTGTCCGTTGCCACGGCGAAGGGTATCAGAGCGCCGTAGATGGGGGTCTTGGCTGGAGGTTGGCTTTAGAGCCGGACTCGGTTCTGGATCAAGGGATTAATTTGCAGCGTTCTAGTGCAGCGGGAGGTTTGAGGCCCGAATTCATCCGTTTTAGTCGCGTTTTGGGGCTCATCCTCTGACTGCCTATGGTGTAGAGAGAATCTGCTGCTCTGCAGCTCCTGCGGTCCTTGAGGGATCGACACAGTTGTTCACATCAGGGTGTTGCGAAAAGCTGCAGTGAATCTCTGAGTCCACATATAGTCGGTGCTGATTGCTTAAGTCTTGCCTTGGGCCCATGGTGTAAACATGACAATCTGTCAGTCTCTATACACCTCGGCAAGACAGATCAAAGAGACATGTTCGATGAAATCGCCTGCGTCTTTCGCAGGTTAACACGACTTGATATAGGCCCTAGGCTTCCCAGCGTATGCAGGATCTCTAGTTAAATCCATGGCCTTGAAGTATGCTGTCGGAAACATTTACCGTCACTCGAAGGCCTGGTATGTGTCGACGTGAAGCGCCTCGATGTGAGGAAAACTTCCACGAATGTCGAGGGCCTGCAGAGCGCCAACAAGTATTTGGCAGCGGAGCACTTGGCTTCTGAACTCACTTCCGTTGAGAACATGTGGGTCGAGATGTGGTGTTTTTATTACGCGCCAGGTCTCAAAGCCCTGATGCCAAACCGCAGAACCCTCGTACGCTTACCCTCGAAGTTTCGATATGTTGAGAAGGTAGGCCAGAAGGACTTTGACCAAAGCATGACCCAAGGAGCCCTGTACTTGCAATCTTGAACCCCCGCACCTTCCGCCCCAGATCGCCTGAATTGAGGCTTTGCGTGAAGACTGCAGCAACTTCGTGAAGACTTACGAGGCCGGTCTTCCTCGAAGCGTGTCACGTGCCAAGCCGGGTGGAGGTGCTCAGGGATGCTGAGGCTTTGGGTTTAGGGATATCTTGGGTTGGGCGTTCCCGGTGGAAGTGCTCTAAAGGCTTATAAGGGTGAAGAGGCGACGAGCACGCAAGACGACCCTTACAAGACAACGCAGGCGATCGTCGATACAGTATGACATGACGTTAGGCCATCTTGTTTCGTAGGAGTTTCGCTAATGCACAGGGTGCGTTGGGCAGTGAGTCTATCTTCAGTCGCTACCTGCCAGTTTTTGGCCACATTTACTCTGAGCCTCTGTGCTCTTTGGTTCCCCCCCTCCCCTCTCCGTGCACTACACACATGCGCTCTGAAATCGGCAGTAACCTTGCAGGCATGTGATATATCATCCGGAAAAGTCTTTTAACCTGAGAGGAGCGGAAGCAGGCTCGAGCTGGAGAGGTGCCGGGCCCGGTAATATCGTCGTAGAAGGTTTGAACACGGAGAGTTCGGCACTGCGGCCCCTGGGGCGACGGAAGGCCTTTTCTTGTATGAAATCCTCGCTGTTTCACAAATGACCCATCGCGTGGTGACAACCTCGAGGACTGCTGCCCAGGCTGCGGCCTTTCTCTTACTGATCCATCATGCATCGTTGCCGCCAGTCAGCAGGGGTGACCGTGATATTCAATCATCATGCATCGTCTTGATGATCGCTGGCATCATCAGCAGCATCATTACTGTAGGAGGAAGAAGCAGATACAGGATCCCTTGCTAATGTGCGCTGCCTTGTCACGAACAGCTAGAGCAAGCGAACAACACCGAGCCTTCCTCGAATGGTATGCGACGGAAAGCCCTCTGAATGAATCTGGTGCCACATCGAGCACCCACGACTCTTAGCAGCTTGAAGCCCCTGCGTCAAGATTCTGATCGGGAAGTGGATGGTCATGTTATGGGAGGTGATGTTGATGAGGGTTGTCTCCAACATCGATTGATACGCTTACTATGCCCAAGACACCTTAACCAGGTAGTCTTTAGCTGTTGGTCTGTTGGTCTTTAGCTCAGGTGGATCGACTGGAGAGCGCCGGGGCGCTCCTTGGCGAGTCGAGGCCCGTGTGCGTTCAACATAGATTACATAGGGTGTTAGGGTAGAAGGTGCCCTCAAGTAACGCAGAGTCCTAAAGCCTCCATCACGGATGAAGCGTAAACGCCTGAACCCGAAACCTCTAGTTGCGCTGCAGACCCCTGGCACGTCTCTGGGCCTCCGCCTAGCGTTCGTAGCTTGTCGTTCGATGTCCTCACCGGGAATGCTAGATTCCTGCAGATTTGGGGCCTGCGCACAGGGGACACTTGTGGCTTCTGGGGTGTAGGATTTAGCGTTCAGCATATATTTTGTTTGACGTCGCCCTAAGTCAGAACGATGTCTGTGTATGCCATATATGGAATTTTGATGAATTTTGGACATCTCACCAGAAAGTCCTACTTGCAGGATGAGAATACCGGCTCCTCCTTGAGCTTACGGGTTTCATGCTTAGGTTTTGGGATTGTGGAGTCGAGCGAGAGGATGGTCATGATGGAGAGACTGCGTGCTTCGGCGCTTCGGGGCCTCTTTGATTTGAAGGCTTCGACAGCCCGGCGTCTGCACTCACAGGTAGCCGGCGCTGCGAACGGCACTCGGCACTCCAGGGCTTCGCCAAGCGATGTGGCGATGCATGCGCTGGAAAATCCCAGTTTCGGGCTTCCAAGTTTGGGGTTTCCAAGAGGGGGTTTCGATTGCGAGCTCGGGAGCTTTGACCGTAGGTACCAGTACTGCGAGGCCAGCATCTCCTGAAGCCGAGAACCTTGCATCTTGATCCACATCCGGCAAACCAGCAAGTGCGTGAACTGCCGGTGGGGGGCCCAAACAGCAAAATAAAAACACACACACGGGCAGCAACAGCAACAAAAAACAACACCCTCCCCGCAGCACAGAAAAAAAAAAGCACTCCCCCCCCGCAGCAACAGCCAAAAAA